AGAGAGAGAGAGAGAGAGAGAGAGAGAGAGAGAGAGAGAGAGAGAGAGAGAGAGAGAGAGAGAGAGAGAGAGAGAGAGAGAGAGGTGCGGGGCAGAGCAGGCAGGAGGCTGCAGTTGGCGGTAGGCCGCAGCGGGCGTTTTGTTGGACTTCCACCGACTCTTCAGGTGTGGCAGTGTGTGTGTCGTGTGTGTTGTGTTGTCATCTTCTCCAAAAAGAACACAACTTCTACAAAAAGAACAAAAAAAAAGAAACTACTGCGCAAGACTGTTTCCTGGTGTATGTTTGTGTGTCTGCGTCGCACTTACCTTATGAAGCCTCCGTCCTCCTCCTCCAACCATGGTCGTCACTCTCCTCCTTCCTCCTCCATCCATGCTCGTCACCCAACCATGCTCATCACTCTCCTCCTTCCTCCTCCATCCATGCTCGTCGCCCTGCTCCCTCTTCCCTAATCCTCGCAATCATCCCTCCCCCTCCAGCCTCCATCCTCTATCCTCGTCTCTCATCGTCGTCGTACTTGTCCTACCAACTCCTCCTCTCCTCCTCGTCCACCGTCCTCCTCCCTCCTCCACCATTGCTCCTCGCCATGCTTCCTCGTCCTCCATGGCCCAGCTCCTCACCATCACCGTCGCCGTTGTTATCGCATTGTCGCCCGCTGCCTGCCCTGCCTCCCCAGTCTGTTCAGTTGCCATGTTCTGGCGGGAGATTCATCGTATACTGCACGTTTGCTGCATGACAAAAAATAGAGCAGTGTATCTTGCAATGTTCTGGCATAAGATTCATTCTCATATTGCATGTTTGGTGAGCACCCGACAGAGCCCACAAAAAATCGACGCGGTGCCCGGCAGATGCTTCTGGAATCCCCTATGCAGGAAAAGCAAGAGAAAATGCGACGTGCCCGCGATGCCGGGCTGACCGGCAACGGTCCCAGTGGCCAGCGGTTTCTGATGGCCCCAACAGGGGGGGATCACGTGAGGCCCGCTATTCGCTTTATCTGTACTCAGGAAGAGGAAGGTAGGAAGATAGGGAGGAGAGGAGGTGCTAGTGCTTGTAGCGGTGATGGTGCATGGGGAGCTCTCGGCTGAGTTTTTTGGTCGTGCATGTATTACACACCTGGGCATCTGGAACCCATTTTAGTATGGCGGAGAGAATAACTTGGTCAGTCGAAACACGGAGGCCACACTCGGCGGGCGACATCCGTGCGCCAAAGTCAGATCCCTTCTTTCCCAGTCCTGAAGTTCTTTCACGGGCAGAGGCAAGCATCACAGTCCCATCACTGAGACGAACAATAGGCCGTAACATCGCGCTCACAGGTGCTGGCACCGCCCTCAACCGCGACGCTGGGAAAACATCGACCTCCTGCTTCTCCTCAACAATGTTCTTCTGGAACCTGATCATGCCAAATCAATTACATAAGACCATGTGTTAAGAGGTGGAAAGACAACAACAACAAAAAAAAAAAAAAAAAAAAAAAAGTGGGAAGAGGCCTCATTAGAACCGCCTCACAGAAGTGGGAAGACAACAACAACAACCAAAAAAAAAAAAAGTGGGAAGAGGCCTCACTAGACCCGCCTCACCGTAAGGGGACTTGCTGCAATAACAAAGCTCTAAAAGAGCTTAGGAGACTAGCACGGTGATGATGGAAAGGGTATCTTTACAGATTCGATCAACGCCAGCACGGCAGGGAAGATCAGATCCAAGACAAGAGGTAAACAATACAAGTACCATCCCTACACACTCAGTTGCAAAGAGCGTAAGGTTACAAGGATAGCCAGTGCAGCTCCGCCCATGCCAGGAAGGTTTAGGGGGAGCATTCCTTTTAGTACGTATGAGAGCTGAGAGTAGCTGAGAGTAAAGATTAGAGTACAGGGTAGAGAACAGTAGACTCAGTAGAGAGTAGATTAGATTGGAATAGAGAACAGAGAGTAGAGTAGAGTAGAGTAGAGTGAAATCGAGAGGAGAGAGTAGCGTGGATTAGAGTAGACAGCATTAAGTGTGGATAGTGTAGAATAGAGTGGAGAGCAGACAGTACAGACAAGAGTTGACTCTACTCTACACTATTCTACTGTATTCTAAAATCTACTCTACTCTCTACCTTATGCTACTCTCTACCACACTCTGAACTACTCACTACCCCGCAGAGAACAGAGTAGAGAGTAGAGAGCAGAGAGCAGAGAGCAGAGAGCAGAGAGCAGCAAAGAGGACAGAGTAGAGAGTGCCGCAGAGACGGAGTATAGAGCAGAGAGTAAAGAATAACATAAGAGTAGAGGGTAGAGAATAGTGAGTGGCGTAGAGTTGGGAGCAGAGAATAGAGAGTGGCATAGAATTCAACAGAGGAGAGAGTAGAGAGTAGCCTAGAGAGAATAGACCAACGTAGAGGGCCTCACTGAGAAAAACAACATCGATTACTGCTCACCAAGACAAAAGGGGCACGCTGGCCATCCCGTGGCTCAGTTTTCCCATTTGTCTTCCCCCGGCACGAGCCCTCCCCACACTACTCACCAAATTCACAGAAGTGTTATGATCCTGGCCAATTTCGAAGTACACATCCAAGAGAAAGTACATCGCCATCCAATTGCAGAAAGAAATGAATGAACGTGAGGAGAGAGGGAAAGAAGAAGAAGAAGATGTACACCAGCAAAGACCAATGATAATCCCCTTCTTCTTCGCCAACCACCCTCCTCCTCCTCTGCTCCTCCTCTCTTATTCAAACAATAAAAAGTAATAATAACGTTAAACGGCCGCATCAGAAACAATGTCTGAGTCCCTCTTCTACTGCAGGTATCACATGAGGTCCACCATAGCCATGGCCACCCTTCTTCCTTCCTCCTTAAAGGCCAAGGGTATGGTGGACTACCAGGGCCTTGCCCTACTGTGCAGAGGACAACACAAAGCAGCTATGGCTGCTCCTGCTCAGGTCGCCATGCCTGACTCTGCCTCGAAGCTTCGTGGTGCAGCTCTACCCCAGTGGGGCCTTCCAGATGCAGCGTCCACCATAGCCAGGTAAGTACCTCTGGCGCTCTCCCTCTTCCGAGTCCTCGTCTCCCTCTTCCTCCAGCCTTTGCTCCTCCACCACAGCCGCGGTGGAGAGCTGGGCGCTCTGTTCTCACCAGCAGCGCTGCTCCAAGCAGCGTTGGTCCAGCCAGCGCTCCAAGCAGTGTGTCGCCAAACTTGCACACCAAAGAATGAGGAGGAGCATTTCGCTCCTCCTGGAGATATAGTTGAAACGGTTTTCACCTCCTGCAGAGGCAGATGGAGATCCCGGGGTTTGATCCCCAGACCTTACCTCACCCATGTACAGTATCGAGTTGACCCCTGAGTGTTTGAACCCGTGACCTGTGCTTCGTGAGTTGTTGTTTGTCTGTCGTGGGACTGTGTGTATGTAGGGATTCGATCTGTAGACCTGTTGAGTAGAGGTCTTAGAGAGTTCCAGAAGTCGTAGCTGTAGATGTCCTGAAGGGTCAAGGTCGTAGCTGCTACAGTCCTGAAAGGTCCAGGTCGTAGCTGCTACAGTCCCGAAAGGCCAAGTCCACAGACTTCCGGAAGGTCCGGAAGTGGCCTTTTGCAGCTTGCTCACGTTTTAGACTGAGGCAACTGGGCAAGTGGGCAAGTGGTGGACCAACTGCAGTAAGTTCGCAGTACGATAGCGGTAGGTTAGCAGTGCGTCCCCATGCAGCCAGCGGTACGGTCCAGTCAGTCCCAGTCCAGTCCAGCAAGTACCATGGGGGACTGTGTGTACCATGGGCCGATGGAAAGGGGCAGACCTACGAGTTACAGAAGTATAAATCAAGAGGCAGCGCCCAGCCATTCCTTCATTCCTGCGGAAGCCATGCGGAAGCGCTGCCACGGTGACTTGTGCGAGGTGGTCTGCAGAGGAGCCTGAAGTCGAAGTGGGCTAGAGGGAGTTAGTGCAGCCATAGCTGCTTGTAGAGTAGAGTTAGCTGGCGGCCATAGCTGCCATAGTTAGTAATAGGTGTGCATTCGTGTGTGTGCCGAGTGTGTGCGTGGGGTATCCAGGGTGATCCGGAGTTGAAGTGTGAAGTGAACAGTGGTGTTGGACACAGTGACAAGAGTTGCGATGTGTGGGTGCTGATGCACCATAGCCTGTTGAAGCGAGCTTGCATCTAAACTGTGTCTTGGTTTCCATATCTTCGAGCTTTGAGTTGGGCGCTATGCGCCAGTGTGATTCACCATCTATTCGTATGCATGTGAAGTGACGAAGTATGCGAGTCTGATTGCATAGTGGCCTGCTTGCCTCTTGGGCGGTGACTTCCTAGGCCGCGCGGCCTCCAAGTAACCGGTACCTCCTCGCTTTCGGAGGGAAACATCATTGCAGACTCTGATATTGCTCGTACAGGCCCTAGACCCAGACTGGTTGGACTGGTACCCGCCTAGACCTAGCCTTTAACTACTGGGCCTCTAAAAACGCCAACTTTTGTCTTCTTCTGCTCGGCCTCGAGTACCCGGCACATCTACCATTACTTCGTGCAGTACCGGCCTACCTGCTACTTTGAGTGTTTTTCGTTGCTTTGAGCGTCGCGGCCTCTTTCCCCGCCAGTTGAGTGTTTTCTCTGCCGCAACCCTCGATGCCACGGCCAGAGGTAAGTCCCGACCCTTCGGGCCTTCTGCGGGTCACACATACACACTCAGGCCGACAAGCACTCAGACAGGCACGCAGACCAGAAAGCATGCACACACTCAGACTTGAAAAACTCAGCAACAAGCGGGAACTCAGCAAGGCATACATTCCATCAGCAAAAACTCAGAAACCAGCTTTGTGTTCCAGTCCGTGTTTGGCAGGTGCGGGGAATGAGCCCTCACAGGGCCCTTATCAGACATGCACATGTTCTGGGCTGAGGCCCTCAGCAAACCTTGTGCCAGCCCTAAGTGAAGGCAGGCCTGAATATTCACCAGAGGCCAAAAATTGACATTTCCCATATGTGGGTACTCGGGCCGTCACAGCACGCCAGTAGGTTTAGAGGAAGTGCGAGCCTCCCTGTGCTGCCGCGTACAGTTGGGCCCCGGCCTTAGTAGTTGCGCCTGGGCACACACACACAATGCAAGGCAGATAAATCACAAATTGGCTACAGACCTACGGAAAAGCAGCATTGTCGACGTACATAACCCGAGTCCTGTACAAATGCAGCAAACGGCCCAAGTCTGGAAATACTGGCTGTGCCCAACTGTAAAGGGGCCCAGGCCCTCGACTGCATAGCTCGGTCTGGGCGCAGGCACTGGGGCCTGACCAGAAACTACTGGAAGCTTCCCAGCCAGGCCACATGCAGCCAAACAGAGGCTGCCACTTCCATATATGGAAGGAGACAGCCAGGGTCAGGCATTCTGACCAATGCAGGCAATGCGGTCACGCTGCTGCGTTGTTGTGCGAGAGGCTGCGTGCTGCGTTAGCGGCCAGGGTGCGTGTGGGCTCGTGTGAGGTGAGAAGGGCGCTGCTGGGCAGCGGAGCTCAAGCAGCCCTAGCCAGGCTGCAGGGCGCTAGCGGGTAAGGTGCGATCGGTGGTCTTCAGGAAGGAGGCAGGTGTGGGTGGTCAGGGTCTGATGAGGGCAGACGAGATGCGTACCTGGTGCATGAGGGAGGTCCGCTATGGTGTTGACGTCATGTACATTGGTCTTCAAAGTCAAAGTCAGCCTGTTGCGTGAATGCGGATGTAGTAGGATAGTCAAGTAGTGTAGGCTGGGTGCTGGGCGCCAGAAAGAGAGGAGTGACATTGGATACTGTGTTGATGTGGCCTGAGGGCTTGAACATTGGCTCATGACTTCATTGTATTGCTCTTGTTTGGATGGAATCTAGGTGCATTTGTGCTCTTTGCTTGTACACGACTACTTGGACATCTGTGTGATTTCACAACTTGGCTTTCTGTATATCGTTCCCACTCATATTCCTTGCAATTTGGTGTCGGAGCTGGTTGGTGATCGCCATTACCTGGCGTTGACGATGTTGTTACTTGGTCCGCCGACGACGCTTCTGTGCAATGAGGATACTTCGGCGCTGGCTTGTTGAGCGGGACCCGGGTAGAGGGGTGCACCGCTGGAAGGCTGTGGCGACAGCGGATGTATGTACGATGATGAGAGCATGCTGATGTGGCATTTTGGCTGAGGTGGCACTGCATTGCGTTGTCGGTGGTACTGAAGCTATGACCAGTCATCCAAATGCACGTCGTCTCAATTGAGGAGAAATCTGTGGTTGGGGGCAGCTATCTCCAGGTACGTTGTTCCCTTACCTTATCTACCCTCTCAATCTCTTCTTACCGTGAGGAAGTGAGTCCAACCTTGAGTGTCCTCTTGTCGTGAGGAGTCATGAGCGCTCTACCTCAAGAGACGACATTCTTCCCAGTGGCGCATCTGGCAGGAGAGGGCGGTGCCTCTGAAGGG